TAAATATATACAAATTATATACAAAATATATATAACACACACAAAATATAAAAGCTACATAACATTCAAGTTCAAAGCCTACAGAACTGTCTTCTGTAAGAACTTAGCATTTTGTGCCTTCAAAATACCAGAAACAGCAGGCACATGGAAGAGAAAAATTAATGGTTGATTGCTTTTTTTTTTTGTAAGCCTTCACTGATAGTAACTGAGGTAAGAACAGATTTGCTTTAGAAATGTTTTTGGGTGGTGGGTTTTTTTGTGTTTTTTTCCCCCCCCCCAGTATTTTAAAGTGTATTTCCAGTATTTTAAAAACATTGAAAAGTCAATTCTCTATAGTTACACATGACAAGTTACAATTTTTCCAGTTTGCCTTAAGAGTTGCATTTCTTACTACACATTTACTGGTTAATTTGTCTCTTAATTTAAAGCTCAGAAGCTATCTGATCACATTACAACATCTGTAATGCAAACTCTAGGTATTAAACATTTTTAAAGATGCTTACATCATCAGTGTCTTTGACTCGAAGAATCTGTTCTCTTAGATCCTGTAAATCATTAAATGTGGACTGCGCTGTGATGGAATATACTAATGCAAAACCTTGTCCATTTTTCATGTATAGGTCTCTCATTGCTGTAAACTGTTCCTGTAATTGAAAAGTAGATACAGATGTTGCAGTCAATTTGCACTTTCCTTGCACAAACTACCATATACACTTCAGGTTAAAAATAGATCACAAGTGTGATGCATTCGTGCCCCCTCCCCTCCTTTAAAGTGACCAGTATTTTACTGTTTGACTAAAAGCATTATAGCAAATTGAACTGCTTTTAAAGAAATCTGAAGCTTGGGACATTATCTGGGGTGGATGAGCAGCACTGAAATAGTGCCAAGGGCTATATCCAAGGAAAAAGTTACAGAAACTGGAGTAATTTCTTAAGAGAGAAGAGGTACAGCAGAAGGTAAAGTGTAATCTGTAGATTACAGAAGTCATAGTCCTCCCAAATCTCTCCTTACATACCAAGTTTTTCCCATCTCCTGACCATTCTTTAAAATGCATTGTAAAGCAAATACATCCTTTCTCAGCCTTCGTTTTGTAGTCTAGACACTTTCCTATGTTAAATTTTACTTTAATATTTAAGGAGATTGTCTAGCGGATGGTGACTCTCCACAGACTCACCGTATTTCCTAGACTCGTGACAGCTATGATACTGCACATAAAGGCTCACTAGTGCACTGCACAGCAGCAATAGGACTTCTTGTTTGAAAACTCTCACCAATATGACTGTGGGATAGCATTTGTCTTTCTCGCACTGTGACTCGGCTGTCTCGTGCCTGATCTGTCATTCACCAAGTCTGTTGCTGTATGTCAGCTGAAAAGCGCAATTTATTTTGAGGTAATAGCTGCTCCATCTTTCTGTAGTTTCACATGGCCTTACTGTATCATGGAGCTTAAATAAGTTATTATTGGACTGAACTATTACTACAGTTCAGAGAACACATTACACTCTAAGGGTACTGAGTTTATGCTCACTGGAATCAATGAAGGAAATGGCTGGTTTCAGTAATTTTGGAACTAGCCAGAGAAAAATCTGACCAGTATGCAAAGGGTCAGCATAAACCCTGTGCTTTGAGTTCCCATAAGCTGACTAAAGCGATAACTATTTTTATCCCAATGTCAGAACACATCTCACAAAAGAGAAAGAAGATGAGAAGAAAGCATGTATTCTCTACAGCAACAGAAATCAAACCCGAGTAACCACTGGGACTAAATTTTCCTCTGAGCAATATAAACTTAAAACAGCAGTGCAATCTCTTTTAAAACGCTCAATCTCACGTTTCCCCTATTACAGAACATGAGCTCACTAGAAACTTGCGATTCATTTTCTGCTGCAATACTGAAGTTTTGTTAAAACACTAGTATGTTAAAGAGCATCCTTTAATCAAAAGCACTGACCACGGTTACTCCAGAGAATGAGGAAGGAAACATGTCTCCATTTATATCCCAACAGCTTTTGATGGTTTTAACACTGTAAATCAGTATTTGGGGAAGTTGGTTTTACATACCGTTCCTGCAGTATCTAAGATTTCAAGCATACACTGTTGTGCATCTACTTCAACTTGCTGTCAAGAGAGAAAGATGTGGTTAGAATTTTTCCTCTTGCAACTCTCCCCTCCAAAGGCACCAGAAATTGCGTGATTTTTATAAGCAAATTCATAATGCATAAAGCAGCATGTCTTAAGTTTATATGGATATACACTTTGAAAACAGCAGGAAGAAGCCTTTCAAAGAGCCCTAGTGACATTTTCTAAAGCAGCATAAGCAGCCAAGTATCACTCTGCAAAGTGATTAGGGATTTTTGATTACTAAAAAGGAGGCTGCTAAATTTGTAACGATGGTTATCAGCATCCAGCATGACTAATTTCTGCTTTTTTCAGGGATCATTCACAGACTGAAAAGTACAAGTGAAAGCTAGAAATTTGGATTGGCATACTAATGCTTATTTAATAGTAACTTAGATCAACAAAAGAATAAGTAGTACAGAGCAAACAATAACCCATGTGAACCGCTAAGAGTGGTGTCCCAAAGAGAAGCCGTTAGTGATGCTACTAACTAGGACACTGATTCAGCTTTAAAAAATTTGCAAAAATTAGGAAGTTTAAGAAGCCAGATCAGTTTCTGTATCTATTTCAGATATCCTCTATATAGTTTCTACCTGAAAAAAGTGTCCACAAGTGAGCAAAGAACATGGAAGTGCCCTCAAGCTGTTCAAGCAGGCTACCCACTTTTTTTAATTTCAAGCTACTCATACACTTCCCTTGTTTCCATTTGCATGCAAAATTTCTAGTTGGCAGATCAGCACTCAGAAAGAACTTTGTGTCCCCTACTCCCAATATATGCATTATCACTATTTAACTTTGAGCCTGTCTTTGTAACTACATTTGAGCTTGGGGGGCAGGGTAGAGGAGTGTCTCCACTCCTCTGACAACTCCCCTGTGTCCCCTAGGGGGGGATTCCTTCAATAACCACTATGTTAGCATGTATTGCTGACAAAGTTATTCTGCTAATTAAGCAGCATCTATTTTCTTTATGAAGAAGGATGTGGGAAGTAAACCAATGCATCATGTTTCAAGACTTCATGCTCAATTATTTAGTTCCAGACAAACTTAAAATATTTCAAGCTATATCCTCTCAACTTCAAATATTATAAAATCAGATTTAACATTAATAGTATAGAGTTGCAACAGCCAAACCAATACATTTCAAAGTCATCCAAGTCAAGAAGCAAGTCAGAATTGTAACTAGCAGTGATGGAAAGAAAATGACTGCATAAAGTGTTGTCCAGACTTAAGCAAGACTTCAACAAACTGGCTGATTTGAAAAGAATACAGAGGTATTCCTAGTCATTTTAGGACCAAACCTGAAAGGAACATTAGAAGACCATTTCTTTAAAAAAATTAGCAAAAGACAAAATTTCTTAAGATGGTTTTACTTTTTCAGGCTCCATGGAAACAGTCTCTAGAAAAATTCACCCAGCAAACATCATGAATCTAGTATGACCTGAAGAATGTAAATGTATAACAAAGGAAACATTTCACTTCAGTACAGCTTGTGAGTATTTCTGGAGTCATTTATTGGGCCTGACCCAGAAAAGGCCTGTACCAAACACTGGGATAGGGTCCAAAATTTCTACTCTTCTAATGCAGAAAAAGTAAGTGGCTACATAGAATTTGTTGTTGCCGTTGTCTTTTTTTTTTTAAGAGTTCTAGTTTTGGCTGGAAGCCTACATGCTTAAGACAGACCAAGATTTTTCCAGCATCCAGATTTTAACAAGGTCAAAGAAAACAAGTGTGAAATTATCATTTTGCCCTCACTAATTCCTCTTCTGTTCAGAAAAGATTTGGGTGGCTGCAGGCTGCAATGGCTTTAACACAGCCTTTTTAATCCAATATAAATGTCATTCAATACTAAAAAAGGAGGTCCTGCAGTTTTGCCCATTCCCAGGTTTGTGCATCTTGCCTCCCTTGTACAGACAGTGGCATTTTTATGGTGGCCACGTGGTGAGCTACCTCACAGTATCAAAGCATCTAAAAAGTAATTCAGCTAGAAAAAGAAAAAAAGATTAAAAAAACCACCACAGCTGAAAAGTAATCTGCTTCACCAAATGGTTAACTCTCTTGGTAGCCATCCAGATGTAAACTATCTTAGCCTGGAATATTAATCATGGTCTCAGCTGAAACTGAAGAGTGAGCAATATGGAGATTCAAGACGATGCAAGCAGAGTCAAACCTTTCAGCCTGTCATGCTGAAGAGGGGAAGAGAAACTAAACAGGCCACAGTGTTTGTTCATTTATGATAGGTTTGTGTTAACTTATTAATAAAACAACAACCCAGCTAATGGAAGCATATCAACCTATCAGTCAAACTGTTAGGAATACAGTATCATGCTTCCAGTGTTCTAAAGATGAGTGTGAAGTTGTTTCTAGTAGATTTTCCTAGTAGCAAAGAAGCTTAAAACCTCCAACATACAAGTCCAAACCTACCTCCATCTACTAACAAACAAAAACTAGTAATAAGTATTATTGAAAAAAAGTGGTAGTGTATTTTAGTGGTTTTTGGTTTGGGTTTTTTCTCCAACCCCCCTTTTAAAAACAATGTTCGCAATTCTGACAATGAAATTACCTTCCCCTCCCCCCCCCCCCTCAACACCTGCCACTAACGATATATTCTTATAAAAAA